GAAATGCATGGTAGCTGGGTAGAAGAAACTGCTCGACCTATCTGCAGCAAATAGAATGAATCAACATTTCATTTCTATATCAAAAGTGGAAAAATAAGAAATATTTATTACTTTTACATTAATTCAAATAGAAGCAATTTGTGAAGTGTGACAATGCTGCACCATGGACGGGATTCTGCTTCACATCAGGTTATATTTGTTCTTGTCAAACAAAATCTGATAGAACACCAATAAGTTTTCATTGTTGTGTTTCTTTGTCTTTCACAGTTACTATTTGATCTCTCTAAATTTTGGAACTTGTGAAGTGTTTGTATTCTAACTAATGCTTTCAAATTCAGTTTCTGCCTTACTATTTCTGAAATCTGCTGACGTTCAATAATCTTCTGATAAACTGGAAAGCGGTGTGGTTATGGGCTTCTTTTGATCACGTGTAAAAATGTATCACACATTTTTTTTTGTTTTACTATATAATAACATGGCTCCTATCTGACTACCTATTAAATTTTATTTGTTGAAGGTCTACAAACGCAGTTACGGTATATGCACTAAACTCTATGAAAGAGAGCTTGACAATTACTTCTAATCTTTACATTTATGGGTATCATTTTTACTTTGCAGCCTCCGTTAAGCTGTGATCATCTCCTTTCACTTTTTTTACACATGATATTGTGTTTGATTGTTTATTGAGATGGTTTTATTTATTTTCTAAAATGTTAATGTCGGGTGCAGAGTTTTGGGCTGAGCTATCAATTGTTTCTGTAAGTTCCTTGTTTAGGAGCTATTATTTTGTTGTTTTACACACACCCACTCATCCACACACACACAGATATATTCTTTTGCTGTTTGGAAAAATAATGCAGGCTGCTGGGGCCTTATCCATCCAAAATTGTGAGTCAGCTGTTTGTAAATTACTTGATCAACTTTCCATAACTAGACTTAACATGTGTATATGTTGACTTTATATTACTAAAGGGAGAGTAAAACTTAATATGAATGGACGGTCAATTGCTAGAGAAGTCCTCTTTTACCGGCTCATACTCTGAAAAAAAAAACGATTTATTTGAGAATAATACTGACAAGTCATCTAGATCGTAACCCCGAAGTCTAGATTTCCAGTTTCAAACAAATAATGAGCCGTATCGTTTACTTTCTCTATTGCACTTTATATTTTGCGTGTGGTTTTCTACTTCTTCTTGGTATTGTAGGTTTCAATATGTTAAGATTACACACTATTTTGTAGTTTAGTGTTATTTGGCCTTTTGATTTGGACGTTTTTTTTTTTGGGTATCAGTGTTTTTTTAAGGATATATGACACAATTATGTGTTTAATTTGAAGTGATGACAATTATACGATACGTTAACACAATGGTGTTCCTTTGGAAAAATTGCATTTATTTATTTATTTTAAATATTTCACAATTATAGACTAAACTCGGACCGTTTGTGAAGGAACAAATCCAGACTTTCGACAGCCAAGCAAGCTCAGTCGCACTGAGGGTTGGCACTGTTGAATAGGTCATGGATATAGTCCATGGTGTGGGAAAGAGAGTAATGCATGGTCATAGATGGCGAGACTTTATAACAGAAAACAACATCGTTGAAGCCTCTGTTTGTGAGTTTACGCTAATAGCACATGATAGAATAGAAGGAATTGCTTTTAGGGTTGAAATTTAGTACACCTTTATGAAATCAAATCAAGCGCATTTTGGTTTGTCTCCGCACGGTGGCGGGGCTTGCAGTTTCATGGCTGTAGCTCATTTAGGTCAATTTTGTGCCAGAATTTTGATCCATCTTCCAGTGATGCTGCCAGAATCAGAGACGTAGACATTTGAGACGTTCCCAAAAAGCTTTCCAAATTTTAAACCAGTGTCAGTTGAGATCCAGTGCAAGGGTAGTCACAGAATTTGAACACAAAGATCTACTTTTGCCTACTCTTGCCAATTAATGTTGGTCGTCGATCATTCCTTGAGAAGAATATTGACCGTCGAAACTCCAGGTCTTGCGAAATATAATCTTCCTCTTGTCTTCTTTGGATATTGAAACTCAAATTGAAAGAGGTTGTAACCTACGAGCCGAACTGTGAACGGTTTATGAGTTCTCCATATGTTTCCTATGGTATCCTTGAGCCTAGTGACGTTGTCCTTTTTTTCACCATAAATTTTGCCAGTAAGATTGCGATGACGATATGTCATCATCGGAAAGGGTGATTCCTACTTCTTCTTTTGCTGATAAATCAAACTTTTGAAGCTTCTTTATTAGATCTGAATCCATCAACTCAAACCCAGGACTGAGAAAAGGGAAGGAGAATACCAAACCTGCAAAAAACACCAAGAAAACACATGAGAAGAAACGAAAAAAAAGGGAAGCGAGGGAGGGATAAAAACATAGGCAATCTAGAAGAGGGTAAAAGGAGGAGAAACATCAATTGATTGGACCAAAATGGGAACTTCTTGTAAAACATACATACTAGCGCGTGGCCCGTGCGATGCACGGGAAAAAAAATATTATGATTGTATTATAAATTAAATATATAAATAACATTAATCATGATTTATCCATTATTTTTAAATTAAATCGGGTTAGACACAGTCCGACCGGATGAACCGAGAACCGATTTATAACCAGTCTAGTTCGCTAGAATAAAATATTTGCTCTCGAATCCGTCAACACCAGTCGGTTGGACTGATAGAATCGATACGATTTTCTAAATAAATTTTATTATGTTTAAAAATATTTTAAATAAAATTACATATTTAAATAAAATAGAGATTTATAAATTATTTCAATTAGTTTAAACATTTGGATTTATAAATTGTTTAGATATCTAAGTAACACATTTTATTTAAATTTATTGCAAAATGTACTATATATATATATATATATATATATATATATATATTAAAATGTTTATAAATTAAAATCTGAACAAACCACAAATGATTTAATATAATAGCTTGATCGTTTCGATGATAACCCAGTTCAGAAAACCGTATATTTACTGTACATTAATAAATATTATAATAAAATATTATTTAATTCACATAAATATTAATAAAATGGTATATAAATATTCATAAATCATTAAACATGTTGTCATAAAAGTATTGTTAATACGATTATTTGAAGTTTGGACTACATCGCATTCACGTAATAAAATATTTTCAATATAAAATTTATATTTAGGTTCAATAATCGATTTGGTGTGGTTGAACTGATACATAATTTAGTCACCTAGTATCAACTAAGTTGTGTCAAGTTTTTTGACTATTATAAATATCACCTAAATGTAATTCAATCAACCTGGGTAGTACCCTAATTCAATCACCCGATTGATCCGAAGAATTTTTTTTTACTTTAAATATATTTAATTTTATGAAATAAAAATATTTTATGATTCATATAATATATGTCTACACCAAATGATAGTATATTAAGATTATAAATTATATATTTAAAGATGGATTAATTAAATATAGTAATTTTTAAGAAATTAAGATTAATTAATTGATTATGCAATTTAAAGAATATTTTTAGCGTTCAATTTTTTTAAAGCACAAATATAAAGACCGAGATTCAAAAACTTTTGTTATATTTTGAATTGAGATTTTATAAATATAGAGACCGAGATTTAATATTGTTTGTTGTTTCTAAGAAAAAAATAAAAATAAAAACATACACACTTAATAAATCTTAGCCGGATTTTTTAAATAATAAAATAAAGTAAAACCCGAAATTTAAGGTAGCATTTAATGTTGTATGATTTTTAAGGAAAAAAATAAGAAAAATAATAAAACTTACTATTTATAGGCTGCATTAAATTATTGACCTATTTTTTTGCTACTATTTTTGGTAAATGTTAATTCTTATTATATATATATAGATTCCAATTTACAGATGCCAATTGGCTAACATCAATTTGTCTCAACACTTTTTTTCTTATCGTGAATTATTTACACTGCGTTGATTCCATTTTATATGGGCCTTTTTATTTCATGTGCTTGCATTAGCCTGAATCTTCATTTGATTGGACCGTTACAGAAAATATCCAAGAAGCCAATTTAATCTCAATTAATAACTTATTAAGATTTTCATCGAATATTGTTGTGCCAAAAATAAACCAATTTACCGACACTCATACTAGGCTTTTTCTTGCACTGTTCAACAAAATTTCAACGTTTAAGGGGAGGTTTGGACATAGATTGTATAGTAAAAAATAAATTTAAACTCAAATTTAATTCAAATTCACTATCTCTAATATTATCAATATAATTAAATAATATCAACAAATCATTCTTACAAATTACATCAATTTTAATTCACTATTCATGCTCTCACATAATTTTAAGTAACCATCACTTCTAATTATTTTCTATTATTTTTACATCAAATCAACTTTAATTATTTTATTTTAAATATTATTTTAATATATCCTTTAACAACTAATCATACCAGTTTTTTTTCAAACTTAATTATAATTTAAAAAACTAATTTCTTACTACTTGAATTTATATCTAATCACCCCCTTAATGACTCTCAAAATTGTTTTCTTTATTATTATTATTATTATTATTATTATTATTATTATTATTATTTTCGTTTGAGATTTCTAGTTCTACTCAATAATCTTTAATGACTAATTATTGAAACTTTCTCAAACCTCTGGAATAATTGTTTTCCTTTCTTAATTTGGCCGTAAAACTTCCAACCTTGCTCCAATAGAATATACTGTCTTCAATTACCCAATTGTAAATTTTCTCTGTCGTTTTCGAGTTTCTTTTCGGGTTTAAATTTTCTGAGTTTGAGAGACTGTTGTAGCTTACCCATTAGGGTTTTTGTGGGTTTTCGTGTTTGTGCCTTTTGTTCTGTTTTTTCCTTTTCCACCTATGAATGCTTTGGGGGTTTCTAGGCATGAGCTTGAGGACACTTGACTTGGGGATGGGTCTTTTGGGTTTAAAGTGTAAAACAAGTAGCAAAAGATTTTTTTTTTCTTTATTGCTTTTCTAAATTCATTTGTACTTTGGTAGATTCTTCAAGAACTGAAAGATGATAGCAGAGAAACCTAGTTGGATCAGGCATGGCGGCACACAGATTTTCTCGATTGATATTCAGCCTGGAGGCCTCAGGTTTGCTACTGGTGGTGGCGATCATAAGGTAATGTTCTTCTTTTGCTGTCTATTTTGGGTTTAATCTGTTTCTATTGATCTTTCTTTCAGAAGTTTTGGTTTTGGTTGTTATAGTCTTTCTGGCTGAAGTATATCGTGAAAGGGTACACCATGAGTACAGCATTATCAAATATTTCGCATCATTAAAGCTGCAACTTGAGAAAACAAGTTCTAGCTTTTGACTTGTATCTTTGTGGCCACTGTAGAAGCTGTCAATCCCAGATCACAAGACTGTAAATTTCTTAAATTTCCCCAATACGGCAATGTGCTTCTNAAAAAAAAAAAGAGAATTCAATGAATATGAATAATAAAATATTCCATTTGATTGGTTTGGCTCGAGACTGCACATATATATCTTAATCTTGTTTTCCAACGTGAAATCATTCACGTGAAACCATGTATTTCTGTTTTGTCTAGTCTGCCTTAATGTCGACACATTCTATCTTCATTGTTAAATTAAGCAGTTTTGCGTTATTTGTTCAGGTTCGCATTTGGAACATGAAATCTGTTGGCAGGGAACTTCAAACCGATGACTCATCATCCAAACTTCTTGCAACCCTTCGTGACCATTTTGGGTCCGTTAACTGTGTTAGGTGGGCCAAGCATGGCCGGTATATTGCATCTGGATCAGACGATCAAGCTATTCTCATCCATGAGAGGAAACCCGGTTCAGGGACCACAGAATTCGGCAGTGGGGAGCCACCCGATGTCGAGAACTGGAAAGTTTCCATGACTTTGAGAGGACACACTGCTGACGTGGTAATAGAAGTTTCATAAAATCATCACTTGAAGGGTTCATAACTACCCCTGAGGTTAATTAAGCTTAAATACAAAAGACGTAGTTATCTTCGATATATATACCCTTTTAACGTTTGTTTTCTCTTGGGTATTAGAAGTAGTTTTTATACATGATCATCACATGAATCGAAGAGATCTAGTTTCCTTTCATTTTGTTTTAATAGATTATGATAGTGAAAGATATTTGAGATTTTGAAATTACGTTAAATATCAGAAGTAGTTGTGTAGATACATACACCTCATATGAACATATCTATGTTTTTCTAGACTTTTGATTTCGCTGTCTAGGAACTTTTTAAAATTGGCATTTTTTTGTTAGTATATCAGTTTTTCTTGTGAATTGTTCTCTAATCAATGTGTCATGTTTGTTTCTATGCTTAAAGTAGGTGGATCTCAATTGGTCCCCAGATGATTCAACACTGGCCAGTGGGAGTCTTGATAACACGATCCACATTTGGGACATGAGTAATGGTGTATGTGCTGCCGTTCTTCGTGGCCACTCGAGTCTGGTTAAAGGCGTGGCTTGGGATCCTATTGGCTCGTTCATAGCAAGCCAATCGGACGACAAGACTGTCATAATTTGGCGAACGAGTGATTGGAGCCTTGCTCATAGAACTGATGGTCACTGGGCCAAATCCGTAAGCTTGTGTTGATTTTTACCTTTTCAAAATGCAAGTGCTTATTAAAAATATTTCGGATACCCCCTTGAGGTTTTTAATACCTATTGTAGTGTTCCTAAATTTCACTTTCAAACGATTGATTTTTCTTAAACTGCGGCAAAAGGAAAAAAAGAAAAAGAAAAAGCAAATATGCCCGAATTTCCATTTTTGTCCTTTTTCCCTCCTCACCCGATGCTGTGTGTTTCCAGCTTGGCTCCACTTTCTTCAGACGGCTCGACTGGTCGCCATGTGGCCATTTTATAACCACGACTCATGGATTCCAAAAGCCCAGGCATTCGGCACCTGTTCTTGAGAGAGGGGAATGGTCTGCCACTTTCGACTTCTTGGGACACAATGCACCAATTATTGTTGCCAGGTTTAACCACTCGATGTTCAGAAGGAATGCCGCGAATTCGCATGAGCTGAATAACGTGTCCGCTGGTTGGTCTAAATCTAATGGATCTGCAAAGCCTGAAGGGAAAGATTCCCAGCCGTATAATGTAATCGCAATTGGAAGCCAGGATCGTACCATAACTGTGTGGACTACTGCCAGCCCCCGCCCACTTTTCGTGGCCAAACATTTCTTTTCTCAAAGTGTGGTGGATTTGACTTGGTAATTTTTGTTCTCAATATCTTCTCTTTACTGTTTGTAGTATGGTGCTGTTAAGCTTCATTCTTGAATTTGCGTTTTGCTGCTAGGGGACATGATATTTAGTTTCTACCTGAACTTTCATAGTTGTACACTTTGTAATTGGAACCATTAATTCATTTTTTTTTTATATAATGTGTGCTACAACATTTTTAATTTATCCCACAATTTATCCTTCCTCCTGAATTTTCCATTTATACAGTACCAATTGTATATTGCAAATAGAGCTGGAAGAGTCATTGTTGACAATTCTCCTGGCATAGTGCTAATAATGGACTAGATCAAAATGGCTCAATTAAATTCTAGTGCTTCTTCTATTAGTGAAGTTTCTAGAAAAAAAAAAAAATATCAAACGGCGCAATGCACCTTGGGTCACTAAGGAAACAGCCTCCTTGTATAATTACAAGGGTAAGGTCTGCGTACAACTGACCCCCCAGACCACAACCTGTTGGGAATAGACTGGGTATGTTGTTGTTGTTGTTGTACAGTACCAATTGTATATAATTTTTTTGCAGGAGCCCTGATGGATATTCACTTTTTGCGTGTTCATTGGATGGGACTGTCGCCACATTTCATTTCGATGCCAAAGAAATCGGACATAAACTAACCGACTCCGAATTACAGGATCTGAAGAGAAATCGCTATGGTGACGTGAGGGCTCAACAGGGGAAATTAGCCGAGACCCCAGCCCAGCTGCTACTCGAAGCAGCAGCCTCTACAAAGCAATATCCTAGCAAAAAGACAAATTTACCCATCCCCGAGACTCAGATCTCTTCAAGACCCCCTGTCGTTTTAGCTATCAAGGCAAAAGTTAGCAAGACTACTGTCGATGATGGAAAGAAAAAAAATAAAGAGGCTGTCAAGGATGGGCCTAGTCAAGTGGGTTCGGCCCGAATGTCGAGCCCGGTGAAGCAGAAGGAATATAGGCGGCCGGATGGCAGAAAGAGGATAATACCTGAAGCAGTTGGGTCAACTGCTCATCAGCAGAGCCCAATTGGCGCTCAATCTGAAAATCTTGAATTTTCTGGGAAGTCATTGGATCAAATAAACGGGACAATACATGGTGATGGTGGTTTTAGAGAAGGGTCATTAAGGAAATCAGTGAGTTCTGTGGCTAAAACTTCTATTACCGAGAGTTTGGTCATTGAGAGGGTCCCGGCTAGTGAGAGCAAGGAAAACAGTACTACTGTTGAGCAAGTTGGGTCCCAAGCTTCAGGAAGTGTTCTATTGATAAGGGTGTTTGATAAGGAAAATGCAGAGGATACTGTACCTGTGTGCTTGGAAGCTCGGCCGAGAGAGCATGCTGTTAATGATATTGTGGGGGCAGCAAGTAGTTTTCTGATTAAAGAAACGGAACTTTCTTGCACGAGAGGGTCTTGGAATTTATGGGCTGATAGGATATCTGGGAAGGTTTCTGTCTTGTCTGGGAATTCAAACTTTTGGGCTGTTGGCTGTGAGGATGGGTCGTTACAGGTCAGTATGACTTCTGTTCTTCCATTCACATCTCAGTTTACTGTTATTGTTATTGTCATTTCTATTTTTGTTTTAAATCAACATGAAATGATAATTACAATTTATGTGAGGTATTTTTGGAATTGTACTCATATGAGAAATCCTTTGATACTTTAGTGACATTTTCTGAAATAACTGTAGTTTGTGTCACACGCTTCAGATGTCATAAACTGCATAATTTTTTTTTTTTTTATTTTTTTATTTTTTTTATTTTTTTACAATTGATTCAAATATTTATCTTGGAGAAGATTTACACAAAATGTGGGAGACGTGCTATGCCGACCATGTTGATGGGTTCCGCTGCGGTTTTTATTGATTGTGATGAGTCGTGGAAGTTGTTGCTCGTCACAAAGAAAGGGTCTGTATATGTGTGGGATCTTTTTAACAAGAAATGCCTGCTTCACGATTCCTTGGTCTCATTAATAACAGCAGACCCGAAGTCTAATGCTAAGGATAGTGGTAAGCGGGAAAAGCTATTGGATAGCATCAGTATTACAATTTACAGCTCTCTAATCCATGCGAGTAACTTGAANCATATCTGCAAAATTATCAAAATCTGGATCGCCACTTGTTGTTTTGGCCACGAGGCACGCGTATCTCTTTGACATGAATCTCATGTGTTGGCTGAGAGTGGCAGATGATTGTTTTCCTGTATCGAATTTTGCAAGCTCTTGGACTGTGGGTTCAACTCTTGGTGGTGAGTTGGCTTCTCTTCAGAATGATGTCAGAAAGTTTCTGGCACGTAAACCAGGATGGAGCAGGTCTGTGTGCATTCTCAGTCCCTTCTATTTTTTCAATTAATAATTAATAATTAGTAATCCTTCAATCAAATGTTAGAAATACACACTGAGGTTTGTATTATTTAGTACATACATCCCTACAGTAATATTACTCATAAAAAAAGTGTCAGTAGGCAGTTATAACTTTAAAGGTCACTATATTGTTTATGCGTGAACCTCTGGGATAGTTTTTGTGATTAACTCTTCTATTACTCAATTTCCATCCATACTCTGCTGTATAGGCATTGATATTGACAATTAAGCTTAGTTTGCTTTTGTGTTAGAAGTTTATTTTGTCCCACATCGATAATTATTGCGCTGTATACTATACAAGTGTGGGTTTACTTTTTGGTTTGCAGAGTGACTGATGATGGCGTGCAGACACGAGCTCATTTAGAAGCTCAGCTGGCATCTGCATTAGCATTGAATTCCCCAACTGAATACCGACAGAGTCTTCTATCATACATTCGATTTTTAGCCAGGTTTGCTAATTCTTATACAGTCTTACTAATAATACCTCATGCATGGTTTAAAGACGATCATTGTTCTCATGATAACAAGTGTTTAGAGTCTCGACACAATGTTCTGCAGAAAATGTCGTACGTGTTTTCCTTATCCTGCTGTGCGTACATGCAGTTCAAATAATTTCTTTTAATTTTTTTTCCTCTGGAAATATGTAATTATTTTATAAATGAAGCTTTAACAAGCCAACACTGAATTTTGTCAGAATTATTTCCATTGAGAGAGTTACTCGTGCAGAATTTCCTGTTATGATATGTAAAATTAGAAATATTTAATGCATTAAAAAAATTTAGGGAGGCAGATGAGTCCCGTTTACGTGAAGTTTGTGAGAGTTTTCTCGGCCCTCCTATTGGGATGACTGAGCCCGGATTGGATCCAAAGACACCAGCATGGGACCCTTTTGTACTTGTAAGGCCTTTTCTTTATTCAATGGAAATTTTGTGATAGGATAATCTATTTTACGGAAGATGTGCAGCGCATATTGTTGATTGGATTCAAGATTCTTTCAATTTTTGTTTGGTTGGTCAAGATTTATCTCATTAAAGTTAAAATGAATCATTTTTTTTCCCACAAAAATTACTATTCATTTCATCTTACTTTTCTTTTTCTACAAAATCCCATCGTCACAATTGAAAATATAAAACAATAATTATTATATTTGTTTTAAAGTAAAATATAAATCAATATTTTATTTTTCTTATATCACGTCAACTTTGATCATTATTTGTTTATTTTATTCTTTAGTTTTCTTTTCACTTTAACATTCAACAAAGTTCTTAAAATATCAGCATTCAAGACTTTTGCATATATAGTGTATACACATATGAAGAAGACGAAGGCTCGTCTATTTACCCTGTGCTCACGGTTATATTATAAGGCAGTTTTATTACTCTTTGCAGGGTATGAATAAGCATAAGATCCTCCGGGAAGACATTCTTCCAGCTATGGCCTCAAACAGAAAGGTTCAACGGCTTCTCAACGAGTTCATGTTCCTTTTATCCGAATACGAGACCACTGAGACGGGCCCAACATTTGAGGCCCATACCAATAATACAAATTCTGAGGCCCAAACATGCACTGCCAAACAGTCTGCTGATGCCATTGATTGTACTTTGCAACCAAACGATCAAATGGACACTACAGTTCAGAAAGATTGTATCCCATCCGTGGATGCAAATCATGCGCAAAAAGCGCGAAAAAAATTGGATCTAATGAATGTGGATTTACTGGGTTCGAATCAATTGGATAAATCGGGCCTATTGGACAAAAACCAGGGTTCTTGATTCGTGATTTTTGATGATTAAGAGGTATCCAGTTAAAAAAAAAATAAAAAAAAATAAAGAGGTATCCAGTTCAATACTAATTGCTAACATTTCGAGTTACTCACAAAATAGAGTACAAATCATTGTTCGGTTGTACGGAGTTTGCTTGTTAATCTCCAGCCTGAGAGGGCATTTTGCAGATTGGAAGACTTGTTGACTCTGTTTAATTGTTGTATCGTTTTGACAGAATAGAGTTTACTTGTTCACTGTACATTAGCAAAAGTTAATTTTGTATGTAAAGTCAAATATGCCTTGAGCTCATATCTGCAAGCGACTTTACTTAATTTGTTTGATCACAAGTAACGTGTTGGCTTCTTTATTCATTGATCACAAGATATGTAGTGCTTTTTTCTCAACTCAATGCATTGAATCGTCGGTATTTCCTTGTTTCTCAAAAACAGATATTAATGTATACATGTGTTGATCTATCTTGCCAGATTGGTTGATAGAATCACGTGTGTCAAAATCTGATTCTTTAGTTTAGTACTATTTTAACGGAAAGAGTAATGAATGATGTCGAGAGTAATTTCGGTAACCAATATATAAACCATTCTAGCAGAGTAGTACGATTCATGTGTGGATATGGGCTGTCAAACAAGTGTGTTCAAAAGTTTGTTTTAATTTTGATCGACTTTGGTTCACATATCTCACACAAGTTCTCTGTGAAAGCGTACAAGTGGGCAATTAATGAGGAAATTTAAACTTTGTACAAATGAAAAGGACAACGAAAGGAGATAATTCGAAGTGAGAATTGATATCCGTGATATGCTTTCCGAATAAGACCTGGAATTGTATGGCCACCGGGTCAACAGCGGGCGATAATGAAGCTATTGCATGCAAATTAAACATGGAAAATTATTTCTTCATGGCAATGTGGTAGCTGAAGATATCAATGAATTAAAGAAACTCCTTGTCCTTCTTAAAAAAAGTTATTACATTTATGCAAGCTTTTATTATTTAGTAAAAGATGTCATATTGCTTTCCATTTTTACGTCAAACAACAGTTATTATTTTTTATTTTGGTTTTATTTTTATGTTTTTTATTCTTATTTATCCCGACAAATCAAAATCTTTTCCTTATTGCAGATCTAATTTTTCAATTTTTTTTTAGCTATATCCACATCCCAATTGGTATAAAAAAGTCCTCCGACTGACTAGAACGAGCTGGAAACGCCTGGATCTCGAGCTTGTTGCTGGTTGAAAGTTCTCGAACCTGCAGAACTCTCAGGTCTCCGGTGAAAATCCTCCTATGCTTAAATGAGTAAATATAGAAGATGAAGTACAGAAAGGAAAGACTCTCTCTGTAATATATTGTGTACAATAGAGAATGTAATCCGTTTTTAGACATACGACCCACGTGCTGGAGCTGTGGATGATGGGCCTCCTCACTGGACCTCCTCACAGACATTTGGGCCTCCTTGCACGCCAGGAAGACTACGCCCGTGATGGGCTACGCGAATCAACACTTGGTGAGCTGGGTTGCGAGCACGGCTGCGGCTCGACGGAAATACTCCATCGAAAAAAGATTGCCAGTTCCGGCGATGGTAACCGACCAAGGGTGCGCCTCGACGAGGAGATGTCGATGGTGTCCTCAGTTTGAAGTGGGTCATCGGAAATCGTCGGGAAATTGAAGAAGACCGGAAGTTGACCAAAATTTCTTAGACCTAGAATCGTTGACCGGCAAAATTGACGGCCTCCCCGAAGGAATTTTCGCTTGATATTTTAAGAAGAGGACGAGCACGAGAAGAGCTTCATGATGATGTAAAAATTTTTTGATCGGAGGACTTTGCCCGGAGCCGGTGCCCGGTGAAGGTGACTTGGTGAAGGTTCGCCTCAGAGAGAGAATTCCAATGGTGTGCTCGGATTTTTGGTAGCTGCCGCGAATCACCAGAAAAATAGATTTAAAAGCGACTGGCGCAATTGGAGTTCTTCCAGCCAGAGTTTTGGCCTGAAAATTTAAAGGGAGAACCACATCGACTAGAGCTATCCGGTGACTTAAAATTTTTTGCGATCGGAGCACTTTGACCAGCGGCCGGCGGTGAAGGTGGCGGCGGCCTGCGAAGGTGAAGGAGGTTGCTGGAAAATTTTTGGACTATTTTGGTCGGAACTTCGTTTGCCACGGCTGATTTTTTGGCTTTTTTAACAGGTCCCACAGGCAGCGCCAGATATAGTGAGATGGACTTCACCTGGGCTCTTTCTACCTCGGACGGTCTCCGTACCTGCAAGAACTCAACGCCAAGAGGGGTCCCGACATCGAGCCTCCAATGCCTAAGTCAGAACTTGCCAAAGATAAAGTGCCATATGAGAGTATAATAGTGAATGTATAGAGAGAATGTGTTTTTGTGATACCTTAGGCCCCTTTTATTGGAGAGGTCTACCTTAGTGCTTAAGTTTGGTTTGCGCAACACCATTATGACATGTGTCTTAGTCCATGTGCAGGTTTACTTCCCAGTATATTTCTCGTATGATATTCCGTATCTGAGTCCTCCCAACATCTCCAAGCAAATCATCGGGGCTAATTTGATATGCCCTGAATATCAATCCATCATGATTTTCAGTCGTACCATCTTATCTCAAATTAAATCAACCTGCAAAACAGCGATAAGGAGGCCCTCGGTGTAGATACTCCAACACAACGGTTAGTAACAAATCTCCCTCGGGCCGCTCTGAACCTAGTTGAGAGAGAGAAACAAACGAATCACCATAACCATGGCGGTGACAACTAAACCCGTACAATGCTTTGGGCGCAAGAAAACGGCCGTCGCTGTGACTCATTGCAAGCACGACCGCGGGCTGATCAAGATCAACGGCGTCCCCGTCGAGCTCATGCAGTCGGAGATCCTCCGGTACAAGGCTTTCGATCTCATCCTCCTTCTGGGTCGCCACCGCTTCATAGGAGTCGACATGCCCATCCGCGTTAAGGGCGGCGACCACACTTCCCAGATCTACGCCATCCGCCAGTCCATCTCTGAGGCCCTCATCGCCTTCAGGGGCGTACCTACATTAAGACCAATGTGGGCCTGGAAAGAAAAAAATTACTATACCACTGGAACTCAAAATATAGTTCAATAGACAATAGCCCATTACCAAAATAAAAATAGAAATTAAGGACAATTCTTACATAAGCACCAACAACCAAAAAAGGAAAAGAAAAAGGGACATAATAGAGAAAAGAGATCATTGTTCTTACTAATTTTAGTGAAAGTAAATTTAACCTTCTTATTATTGTTCTTAATTATCTAAAAAGAAAAATATCATCTATTATAATTTGTGTGTGGTTAATAACTTAAATTGTAGGCTCTTAAAAGTTTAATATATTAGTAAAGCATTTTATACATTATAATTTATTTTTTTATATCAAATTGTGGAGATATATTTTTGAAAAACTGCCTCGAAAAACGTGCTTGTAAAAATACTTTAAAATGAGATACTGTCATTCCAAATATACTTAAGGTGATTTCTAATTGGTTCAAAAGAATTCCGATGAAAATTTCAACAATAACACAATATTTAGCTAAGAAAACTCATTTATTATAAATTTGTGTTATTGTATCTATATTATTTATGATAGCATAATATATTCGGTAATCAAAAGTGATTCCGAAATTGTTGAGAAGATGAACGTTCATCTTCAAGCATTAAAGAAGCATTAAAATTTCGCATTGGCAACTATATATCAACCACCAAGTTCCTAGAGACATTGCTCAACTAGTGAAAGGTACGTACCACACGATAAAAAGAAAGTTTCTCAACCACTTATGAGTGTGATCATGTCCTTTCGGCTTTTTATTGAAGCCGAATTAATTTGGGGTGTCCGAATTAAAAGTTTCACAATCAAATTGATGCGCTTTGGTCTTGTGTTGAAGTCAAATTACTTTGGTCTTTGAATTATGTGGCATTTTCTACGCGATTATATGATCATGGACAGAACTTAATTTAATTAGAATTTAACTACTAAAAAATAAACAAATTAAGAAAGGTTGATTAATTATTATTTTAAAATATGAAAATTTTGGCAGAGTTAATCAAGATATAAAATAATAATATAATATTAGTCGAATTAATTATAGATATGTATTGTAAGTCACCCTGCCATCCAAGCAACGTTTTTCAAGTCCAATATTATTGAGTGAAAGAGAGTGATATATTATTAATGAGTGAGTACGAGAAAAAAGTACCCATATAATAAATTAATAATAAGCCTAAAAGTTGATGTATTACCAGCAGAACTTCATTTTGTGAGTCAAATAACCAATCTAAAACATATCTCCTACGACTTATGCATACGTCCAAATTATTTGTATGACTCTAACTTTTGCCCAAAAGATCAATAGCTAAAGGTTACTTATCATAGTGCACCCTATTTTATTTCAATATTCATACAGTTCACACATATATCGTGTTATGTGTCGTTGTGCTGATAAATTTTAATCACAATTTTTCTTTTCGGCTCAAAACAGCATATATGAGACTGGAAATTGAGCTAACAATTGGTTAAGATTGAGAAAATTTTAAAAGTAGTGCACCGAATAAATTCTGCAATTTCTTTTAATTTTTCTTCTCTATAAAATGCTCAATTTGATTTTACATTAGAATACAATCTCTCTCTCTCTCTCTCTCTTTCTCTCTCCCTTCTCTCTCTAATGGAGTTTGGCAGAATACTTTATTTCCTGGAACACAGCTCGATTCTTGTTACGGGTGCTAATGGCTTTCTAGCTAAGAGTACTACTCTCTCTCTCTCTCCCACTCATACACCCACGCATATACATAAAGGATAATGTAGATATGTATATGAATATGAACTAATAATAATAATTAAGTTGTGCATGTGTCAATTGCAGTTTTCATCGAGAAGATATTGAGAGTACAACCACAAATCAAGAAGCTTTATCTTCTTTTAAGGGCCCCAGACAAAAAAACAGCCATTTCACGTTTCAAGAACGAGGTAATATTATTTTTAGTAGCCAGCTTTATTATAAAGCAAATTTTCAAAAGTTAATAGTCTACTATGTTGGTCATTTTATTTTCCGAAAAAAGTCCATAATATAGGGCGTCATCAAGAATGTTCCACTAAGTTGCAATTTTAATCAAAATTCGTACAAAAACAAAGATAGTGTACTAAAAGTGATTGTCATTTTTAGTACACTATGTTTACTTTTGTACAATTTTTTATTAAAAGTGCCAACTTAGTGGACCATTCTTGATGACACCCTATATGATGGACTTTTTTTAGAAAATGACCAATATAATGTACGAAAAATGAAATTTAACCTTTATTATAATATCCGTTAACATTAACTTTTCTTGGTGCCGTTGGAGGCTTTGAGACGAGTTTGGACGATTTTAATCACAATATGGATATTCAAATAATATTTTTTTTAAATAATATAAAAATAGAAATAAAATCTATCAATAGTTTTATGACCCCGTCTAGTTCCGAATTAGTCTCCACCTAGACGCTAAAGAGCACCTAATCATTTTTTATAACCTTGTACGTATATGTTCACAGGTCGTAGAAAAGGACTTGTTTAGGGTTTTGAAAGAGAAATTTGGGGATAATTTAAATACTTTTATTTGGGAAAAAGTTAGAGTTGTCGCTGGAGATATTACGTATGAGAATTTGGGTGTGGAGGACTCAGATTTATTGGAAGAGATGTGGGAACAAGTTGATATCGTGCTTAATTTAGCTGCAACCACCAATTTTGACGAAAGGTACGTGATTAGGATATAATATATATAATATGCATATATATTATTTTATACGAAAAGGTATATATGTTTTTATTTATCTATATGGAACTAAATCATATTTTTGGGACAAAATGATCAATTATGTTAGGGTTGCATACAAAAATAAAAAGAACAAGAAGAAAAAAAAAGAATAAAGAATGAAATTAAAGGATTAATACATTTTATTGGATTCAATTTTTCTTAATTAATTTGAGTTTATAATTTTGCACGCAGATATGATGTTGCCCTTGGAGTAAATACCCTGGGAGCTGGGCATGTTTTCTATTTCTCCAAAAAATGCAAACAATTAAAGGTGCTTGTTCACGTATCAACTGGTTAGTACTATCATTGATCATTAAAAATCCAAATAGTATAATTTCTTTAGGAACATTTTAACCCTTTTCTTATCCTAATTTTAATCTACTTTTTTCCCCTAATGCTTTTTTTTTTTTTTTTTTTTAATNNNNATATATAATATTTGTGGGTTTCTTGAATTTCTCAACTCTTTCCATAGTCGATAATAAATTTACTTGTCTTATGTAGAGGTTGCATATTCATATATATTCCCCTGTGATATCTAATTGTGTGATTCTATTTTAGACCTTGACTCATTAAATGGCAAAATAAGTCGAGTATTTGGCTATTATGTACGAGTAACTTATTAATTACAAGATGGTCTGAATATGTTAATAATTTCTGTGCCGTTTTTTGAGGAAATGTAAAATCATTTCTCGTGTATATATAATATATCACAATTTACAAAACACATTTTCAATAAATAATTTGATGTGTTTAATTTGTTTCTTTTTATTCAGCTTATGTTTCGGGTGAGAAAGAGGGGCTAATATTGGAAACGCCTTATAAAATGGGGGATACACTGAACGGTACATTTGGATTAGACATTGATGAAGAGAAAAATTTGGTCGATGAGACCACAAAACGCCTTAAAGCTGAGAATCACTCTGAAGACTCCATAGCAACAATCTTGAAAGAATTGGGAATTCAGAGGTTTGGTTATTTCTCTAATTTATAAATAAATGAATCCTCAGTACATATATATATTGTTTTTCTTGATTCAAGTTTTTTTTTAATTATTATTATTATTACACATTGAGCATGTTTTTATCTACACTTTCGGTAGTTTATTATAAATTATTTTCTATGATATATACAAATGGACGTATGATTGACTTACATATATGTGCAATCTATGTACTTAGTGAAAAAAAAAAGAGAGTAATATATAGTTTCAATAAAGAATGTGACTAACACCTATAGTTTGTGGAAAAATTATGTGAAGTTTGGGGTTGCAAGAACCAAATTAATTAGTGTGTAAATTTATAGTATATAATTTTGGAGTTTTGAATTATAAATTTTTTAAGGTAATCTACTAAAATTTTATAAATCTCATTTAACTCATGAATGGAAGATTAGCAAATATTCCAATAGAATATACAATTCAAATTTATATTTTACCAGTAAAATTTCGTATAACAGGGCAAGGAAATTTGGGTGGCCAAATACATATGTTTTCACTAAGGCAATGGGGGAGATGTTGTTGGGGCAGTTGAAAGAGGAAATGCCTCTTGTAATTATTCGCCCCACAATTGTAACCAGCACTTACAAAGAACCCTTCCCAGGTTGGGTTGAAGGGATCAGGTAATTGTGAATTGTTATTTAATTATCATCAAATCAAGAAATAAATAATTTTCTAAGCATGAGCAAGTACCTGTATATATTCAAACATTATTAAAATCTTATGCATTTATTATCTATCTATCTATCTATACTATTATAAAAGGACGAGTGATTTTGTAAAAATAATGATATGCCTAAAAAACCCTTACTTTGATATATTTCTAATGGCAAATTAGTAATACAGTAATACACATCTTATTTTATATTTTTAGTTAACAAATGAACTACCTAAAAAGTTCTTATTTTGACTTAATTTTAATGACAAATTAGTAATACACTAATACTCTTCAAATCTTATATTTTTTAGTTAACCACTAATATTTAATTAAATAAATAACGGCGTAACATTGAAAACTATTACGATACACGCCCAAAGTATGACTCAAATAATTCTAAATTTTACTAAAATTGATGGAGATTGGGGTGGTCTTTGAAGAAATTGTTATGATTCTCTTAGCTAAGTAGCTGTTGGAAAAAAAAATAACTCCACAGAAGTCCACCAAAACAAATTGGTTCTTGTAAACAATATCTACAAAATAATCTTATGTAATTTTTTGAATAATTATTTTGCAACCTAAACTTCTAATCTACTTAATTTCTTTACGTAAAATAAGATTAGAATAATTTTATGAAATTATATAATACTAAAACCCGGTCTAATTTTTTAGTTGAGCAGCATGATTTTATTTTGATCATACAATTTTCTACGAGTTAATTAAGATATCTAAAGAATCGTGATATGCCTATACACAGAAAATTATTTATTTTTACCAATAACTATATCATATATCACCATTACTCCTCTATTATTAATAACTATAAATAATAAAATTGAAATCCATAATTTTGTCCTCATAACACCCATAAGTAAAGAAACAATTTTTTTCTTTCAAAATAACCAATAAAAAGTAATAATTTTTGTAATAGTATGAGAGATTAATTGTTGAATGATTGATTTGCAATCGAAACTTCTAATCAACCCAATTTATTTGCTTAAAATAAGGTTAGAATAATTTTATGAAAATGTATAATACTAAAACCCAGCCTATTTATTTTCATGTAATGAATGAGAAAATTGTAATTATATATAATAAAATAGAACGATGTACAATTAATTGATATATAATAAGACATATGACCCAAAAGGTTCCATATTTAATTTTATGTATTCTTTAACAAATATAAAAGTTATATATATATACATATATATATATATATATGTATGTATTCACATATATAAACATTTAAAATAACAATATAAAGGAAAAAAAATATTAAATTTGACAAATAATATTAAAAATCCGTTTAAGCTGTAACACTTATTAATAAATATTAAAAAGTAACAAGAAAATGTTATAGTTAATAAAAATAAAGATAAAACTTTTAAAACTTGTACTTATCGATGTAAACGAGTTGAGTCACTATTAGAGGAATTAAGAGAGCTAAAATTGGCTTTTTGGTAGATTCAATTTCTTAATGCAATTCAGGTGTTATTAAACGCTTGTTAATTTTTTGTTCTTAATAATTCTAAATGTAAGTTTTAGGTGATAGACAATAGTTATTTGTACTTTTATCCATAATTATCTTCAAATTAATTAGAAATATATTGTGAATTATGATATGTTTATATACGTTGAAAATTAATTAATTTTACCAAGAATTTATATCTATATAGTACCATTACTCCCCTATCTATTAATATGTATTATTACAATAAATCAACTTTATTAAAAAATATACAAAATATCTTTTTTTTATTATTTGATAATAATATTAATTAGAAAATTCAACTTTATTAAAAAATGTACAAAATATCTTTTTTTTTAATTATTTGATAATAATATTAATTAGAAAATTGTAATTATATATAATATAATGTAAAGATGTACAACTATAATAGATATAATAAGACAAATGACCAAAAAAAGTTATATACTTAGTATTATGCATTTTTTTTAACAAATTTAAAAGTTATATATATATATATATATATGTGTGTGTGTGTGTGTGTGTGTGTGTGTGTGTGTGTGTGTGTGTGTGTGTGTGTGTGTGTGTGTGTGTGTGTGTGTGTGTGTGTGTGTGTGTGTGTGTGTGTGTGTGTGTGTGTGTGTGTGTGTGTGTGTGTGTGTGTGTGTGTGTGTGTGTGTGTGTGTGTGTGTGTGTGTGTGTGTGTGTGTGTGTGTGTGTGTGTGTGTGTGTGTGTGTGTGTGTGTGTGTGTGTGTGTGTGTGTGTGTGTGTGTGTGTGTGTGTGTGTGTGTGTGTGTGTGTGTGTGTGTGTGTGTGTGTGTGTGTGTGTGTGTGTGTGTGTGTGTGTGTGTGTGTGTGTGTGTGTGTGTGTGTGTGTGTGTGTGTGTGTGTGTGTGTGTGTGTGTGTGTGTGTGTGTGTGTGTGTGTGTGTGAAAGAACAATATAAAGTAAGAAAATATTAAATTCGATAAATAATATTAAAAATATAATTAAGTTGTAATACTTACTAATACATATGAAAAAAAGTAATAACTAAAAATGTTATAATTAATAAATATAAATATAAAACTTTTAAAACTTGTACATATCGATGTAAACGAGCATGATTGTTACTTTTTTGTGCTTATTAATTATAGGTATAAGTTTTAGGTTATTGACAATAGTTATTTGTACTTTAATATATGTAGGTTAGAGATTTTAATTTTCTTAAAAATAAAATGATTATTGTAAATTTAAATATTTTTTTATTTGTTATTAGCTTTTCTAATATAGTATATAAATATTATATTGCATATAAAAATAATACTTATTTCCATTAATATGTAGGAAAAGTAATTCAATTGAGAAATTAATAGGTAATCTCACCATAAAATAACGAGTGACTTGTAAGAAAATTATATGGACTAAAAAGTAGATGTTTTAATATATTTTAAGAGAAAAATTATAAACGCAATTAATAAATAAAAAAAATACTACATAAACATTTTAATGATTATGAAAGAATACAAAAATTCCATATTATAATGAAATCCAACAGTAAGGTATTCCACAGAAAATACCAATAGATATTTCATTGGTATGGTTTCTATTGAAAAGATTCACTGGTTATCCTAATGGTGAGTAAATTTAATTACATTAAAATTTTTGTGGATTTAATATCTCAATTACTAATATTTATTTTTGTGTGAATTTATGTTGAATTTTTTTTCGGCCATATTTCAACCATTAAAAAAATGGTCACTGAAATTGGGAAAAACAATGAAAGTTCCATTGAAAAACTAGCTGCAGTGGCAAATCCAAAATAATTTAATGTTAAGAGCACTATCTAATTAATACAAAAAGTATTGCATCAAAACAACATAATGTCATTACAATTTATAAAGTATACTTTTCTTAATTTGTCAACTTTCTCGTATGTATTACTTTTTTTAACACATCAGTACAATCACAATAAGTTCAATAATATTAAAAAAAAAAACATAATTTTTCTCAATTCGACATAAGAAAATCATAAAAAAATAATACATTTTTCAAAATCTTTTTATGAACAAAAGTTTTATGTTGTAGTATAGTTGACTCGACAATATAATAGATGATTGTATAAATTACGACTATATAACTAGAATTCTACATACACTTAAAAAAGACTTAAAATATATTTTCTAAAATTAGATAAAAAATTATGTCGCAAAAGAGAGATAATAAGATATCATCAAGAATAAAAAGAAAAGAGAGAAATATAGCATAAAATTGTAAACTTTAATATCATATTTTCTTTAGTTGGGATACCGCATTGATGTTATAATTTTAATAATGTTATGAGTTAAATTAAATTATAATTGGCTGAGTTGTAAATTAATCATTATTTGTCTTTATTCTTTTAATTTTATTTTCTAAATAGAGGACATGATTAAAATTATGAAAAATGTTCTCATAATGTTTGTTAGATATCTTATGCTATTTGTTTTGGGATGATGCCAGTTTCGGAACTATTGGACAAACATGGATCTGCACATGATTGCAACAAAATATTTTTGTTATAATTTTCATTGAAAAATTCAAACGAAAATTGTAACGTTGAAATATTCGTTAGAATTGTTGTCGAAATTTCGCTGTAATATGTTTTCATTGAAATTTCATCATTTTATTGTAGTAAAAGTATGACTCCAAATCAAACTAAAAAATTTGCACTATATATGATATTGTGTGCAGTTAATTGTTTTGAAAATTGTAAATAATGATACAAAATATAACATATTTAATGTAATTATCATTTAATTTATGATAATTAGTAATTAAAAAAAATACATATAAGTTGAAAAGTCCTTAAATATTTTATTAGTATTATAATAATTAAAGAAGAGGCCAGAATGATGTTCTACTGAAAAGGTAATATTAATACTAAACAAGATGTAAAAATGATGTTCTACGTAATAAAAAGGTAAAACTACACAACGAGAAAGCTTATACCTGACATTCCATCAAAAATAAAAAAAAAAATGATAAAATTAATAAATGTCATATATCAATTGGAGCTAGCGAATGATAAATGTAAAATATACTTGAAATGCACATTTATAAAAAATATATTTATTATTTTGTCTTAGAAATCGGTATGTTAGTCATAATATTTTAGTTTTATACTATTATAAAAGGACGAGTGATTTTGTAAAAATAATGATCTGCCTAAAAAACCCTTACTTTGACATATTTTTAATGGTAAATTAGTAATACAATAATACTCATCTTAATTAATATTTTTAATTAACAAATGAACTACCTAAAAAACCCTTATCAAGCACGTAAAAAGAATGCATTGCATATAAATGTTCTCTAATTCTTTCAAGAAATAAAATATTATTTGTGAATAAAATAAAAAAAAAAACAAGTAAACCAATAGTAATGCAATGAGGAAAAGAAAAATTCTGATTTTTTTTAGAAAAGTATGAATACTAATATCAAGAAACAAAAATATTTTAAAATTACTACTTTTTTTGTTGCTAGCATTTAAGTATATGTTCTCTATAAGAAATTAGTTCTCATAAATAATGATTCGATATTATCATAAAATAGACCACAAATTTTAATAATGACTTCATAATAATAAAGTTAACAGATGACTAAGAGTATCATAATATTGTATAATTCAAATTCTTCTCATCTGAAATATTTTGCTTCTAAATATTGTCTCATTGTTTTGTTTTGTTTTGTTATTATTGAAGAACCAATAAAGGATCTTTATCTTGATTTTTTTAAGAATTAGTTATGATACAAAAGATTGGACAATAAATGCAATAAATATTATTAGACACATAAATATTGCAAATCTGAAAGAATATGGAAGGTATCTATCTTCCAAATTAATAACACTGAAAAGGGAATGTTTAATACTGATTAAAATATTTTTGAATGTTGAATAAGTTGTCACTTTTTGATAAGAATTTACAATCATAACTCTGTATTGTGTTCGATCATACGCGCAATTGTTTTAGAGTACATATTTTCATGTAATGTGTGATGATTTCAAAAAAATAATTTAGCATCTTCATAGAAGTACATGATTTTGGAAAATCAAATTTTATTTAGAGATGAAATTCGTTCCCACCTCATGGGGTAAGTACCAATTTGTCTGTGTGGGAGAGGGAGAGAGAGACAGAGACAGAGAGAGAGAGAGAAATGTAGTAGTTTATACAGTGATTAAAAGAAATATCAAGAATTTTAATGACACAAATATCAAGAAATTTAATGCTACAATTGTTTATTTCACAGAGATACTTATGAACTATTAGTAAAAATACCTTATAATAATCATACAATCATAAATTTTGACTATATATTTGGCTAAAGTATTTCTAAGTGTTGAATAAAACAGACGTTTTGCAAAATTAATTAAGAAGAATTTTGCAATACTATTGATGTATTAGAATTCAACGAGTATGAATGTTTCTTATAAGAACATCAAAACCAAAATAAAAGAAAATGACTCTTGAACCTAACATAAATAAATAAAAAAACTCATGCATCTATGATATACATTATGTCTTTATTTAGTCATTTATTATTTTTTCTTTAGGAACTCATTTTTCATATATTTTTGTTGGAGTTGTAATATGATATTTAAATCTTTTTATATTACGAATTTTTTTTTATTTAAAATAAAATGCATGAAAAGTTTATTTATTCTACATTTTATTTTGTTCCTGCAGTCATATGTGTAATAAATTAATTAATTTATCTTACTAAATTTAGTTGATAAAAAACATTCGTCGCCACGTGCACCGCACGTGCACTTTACTAGTATTGTATAAAAATATAAATATATAAAACTCACAGATCAAATAGCCAAGAAAAAAACTTCTAAAAAAATAAATTAAAAATTGAAATAAAGAAAAGGAAAACAATAAAAATATTTAAGCAAAATTTATATTATTACTTATATATATAGTGTATCAATTAGACTCGATATATTTTCTTAAAATGATTCAACAATATTTGATTAATAATTATTTTATTGTATATCCCGTGCATTGTATGGGTATCAAGTATCAACATTAGTTAAATAATAAAAACTAATCATTACTGCACAATTTTCTAACAAAATTTACTATTTATTCACTCACACATTTCTAACTATCAATTATTTATAATAATTATTTTACTTCTTTTATGTCAAATCAACTCTACACTCATTAAATTTTATCTCATATCCATTCACAAACTCGAAATTAATCCATTAATCCACTCAATCAACCTTTTCAACTCNAAAAATAATCAAAAATTTTCCAAAAATTTAAGATGTGATTAGATAAGATAAAATTGTCCATGCTTCTAATTTATGATTTATATTTGTAATTTTCACTTACAGTTGTGTACAAAATGTTAATTTATTTATTTTTAAATTTATTCGTTAAATTCTAAAGCCTCTAATGCTAATTCGGTACTTCAACGAGCAGGACAGTTGATGGCTTGGTCGTTGGATATGGTAAAGGAAAAATAACATGTTTTCTTGGAGATCCCAAGGGCATTATTGATGTGGTGAGTTTAATTAAGTAGCTATCTCTAAATTACTTGCAACCTTTAAGCCGTATCTATATTATATAGACCAATATACAAATTTTATTTAGCTAATACGTAAATTTTGTAATAAAGAAAATGAAATGAGTGTAACTATTTATGCGCAACACAATGGAGTAAATCTAACACGACTAATTATTGACTGACATTGACTGGATTAGGCTGAATAATATCGATTTTATAAAAACATTAATTAATTGCAGATACCGGCAGATATGGTGGTTAATGCAATGATAGTGGCAATGGCAGCTCATGCGAATGATAATAGCGGTAATGATAATATATATCACGTTGGCTCATCTGTATCAAATCCTGTGGAATTCACATGGCTTCAAGATTATGCATTGAAATACTTCACAAGACATCCTTGGATTAACAAAGATGGAAAGCCCGTGATTGTTGGCAAAGTTAATGTCCTGAGCTCAATGGATAGTTTCCAAAGATACATGACTATTAGATACGTTCTGCCTCTCAAGGTCTGAATAATACTCGATTTTGGTGTCTATTTGGTTTAATTCTCGATTTATTTATTTATTTTTGGTTTTTTTGGTAGGCTTTACAGTTATTGAACATGTTAAGCTGCCAATATTTCCAGAGATTGCACCTTGACATGTGGAGAAAGATCAAGTTTGTGATGCGACTCATTGATCTTTACGGTCCTTATTTGTTCTTCAAAGGCTTGTGAGTATTCTAATTTTTTTTCAGCCCTGCAATAATTTGTAGTGGGAACATAAGACAATACATAACAAGTAGGGGCAAGATGGTCTTTTTCATAACCATAAAAATAATAAAATTGAGATATATTCAGTTAACCATAATAATAATTGAGGATTTCTGATGATATTAGTCAGACTGTTAACTGAATATATCTCAATTTTATTATTTTTATGGTTATGGAAAAAAAATTAGAACATTTTACAAGCTTAATATATAAAATAATCTTGATTCGTAACATACTTTTTTTTGATATGCAGTTATGATGACATGAATTTGGAAAAACTGAGAAGAGCAGCAAAAGAAAGCGGTATTGAGAGTAGCATCTTCTATTTTGATCCCAAGACCATTAACTGGGAAGATTATGCTATGAACACTCACATTCCCGGAGTTGTGAAATATGTATTTGGGCAAAACCAAAGCATGAATTAGTGTGCTACACTCAAAGCACAAGATTTAACTATTTCGAATTTACGACTTTGCGCCACAAAGACGAATGAATTGTTTCACTGGAACTTCTTGGCTTGTTGTTTATTCATTTATTCTCTATTATTTTTTTCTATTTTCTTGTAAAAAATTCATTTGTATTCCATCATTCTCTTGGATACCTATCATGACCTGACGTGTGCTTGTTTTCAATTATAAATAGTTACTCAAATAGAAATATAGAGAAATTTTAGTAATTTATTTATTTATTTTTTGTCAGAACGATATAAAACTCACTATAAAAAAAACCAAAGTTTGAATATACACGATCGAAAATCAAAAAAGCCGAATAAAGAGATAACCACACGAAGGTGGCCTAGAACAACAACAAAACAAAAAGAGTCTAAAGCAGTTAACTAACAATTGAGGCTAAAGTCACTCTAGCCAAAAAAGAGAAATAAAAGGCAAATAAACAAAGATGAAGACTTCCACTGATCCAAGATCCTAGACCGTCTTCAACCATGTCATCCTCATTCCAAAGCAGAAGGCTGGTTAGCTTCCTCAAATTCAACCCAGTCTTTAAGAGCAACATCAACAATAAGAGGAGCTGACTTAGAAACTCCTTCGAATATCCACAAATTTCGAGACTTCCAAAGCCACCATAAGATATAAGTAGAAAGTTGGATCCGAGCTTCAGAAGCTTTTATCCATCTCAGAGATGTGCCACCACCAATCTTTCACAGAATCCTGACTTTTTGGCCCCTCCCAGGACACAGGAGCTAATTTCCAAACAAGAGAGGCCGTGGGACAAAAAAACAGAACATACTCTACAGTTTCCTCAGCAAGGCTGCAAACTTTACAGATATGATCAGTGTCTAAGCCTTTCCTCTTCAGATTCACTCCAACAGGAAGGATACCAGAAATACATTTCCAAACAAAATGTTTAACTTTATCTTTAATCTTCAATTTCCACAATCTACTCCTGGCCTTTCATCTCTAATAGTGGCATCACTACTTTAGGCCTTGTCCAGTTTAAGAAGCTTATAGTGAGTAAGAGAAAAATAGACATTAGCAAAAGAGAATATGCCCTTTTTATCAAGCCTCCAGACCCATCTGTCCTCAGCCTTCAACTTCAGGGTTAAGAGTGGAAATTTTCTGAATTACTGAACAATCTTGCTCAGAGAAGGCTTGACTTAAAAGCTGTAAATTTCAGGATTTGGCATCAGCAGATAACAACTCATAAACCTAGGTTAAGTTCAAGTTAGGACCAGAGGTGGACTGCAATCTGTAGCCTTTCAAATTAGGCACTCAAAAATCATTAAAATTCTAGTACCTTTTCTACTTCTTACCTCAGACAACATTCACTTCCCACAGTCTTTCAAAACTTTTCACCCACTAAGCCAAAGCCAGGATGCATTATCCATCTTTTGGGCAACAAACAAAGAGGAATTAAGGAAATATCAACATTTGAAGACTTTACTTACAAGCAGAGTTGGTTGAGTCAAGAGCCTCCAAAGCTACTTGGCAATTAGAGCCTCATTAAAGAGCTGAACATCCTGAAATCCTATGCCTCCTTGAGATTTTGGAAGTGAAAGCTTGGCCCAAGACTTCCAGTGAATCCCCTTTTGGAAATCCTCTCCTTTGCTCCACCAGAAACCTGCACAAACACTAGCAATTTCCTTGCAAAGACTCAAAGACAGCAAAAAACAAGACATAGCAAAGACTGAGTGCCACAGCCTTGATTAAGACCTCTCTACCAGCAGGAGATAACCACTTGTTCTTCCAGCTAAGAATTCTGCTTTTAACTGCAGAAATAATATAGCTAAAAGATCCTCTCTTAGATCTCTCAATGCCCAGAGGAAGACCCAAGTATCTAGTAGAAGAATGAAGATTTATACCATTAAGCACTTGACAACATCTGCCTTGAACATCAGGGGGAGTATTCTTGCTGAAGAATATGGAGGACTTCTCAAGATTGACCTTCTGACCTGTTGATGCACGGAATTTGATCAACATGGGGTACTCGTAGGAATTTTTGTATATATTTTGTGTAATTTTTTATGATGAATTTGCTGTGTATTTTGTGTAAATAAATCAAGGAATTATTGAGGAAGAAGAAGAAGCTGTGTCTATGTTCAGGTTCAGGGAGAGAGAAAGAGTTCCTCCTCCCACAGGCACCGCCTCACTTCTTTCCGATAAGAGAAAAAAATGTAAAAGCCCCCTCAGACTTATCTTCTGATGTCCATCATCGAGGATATATATATATATATATATATATATATATAGGGTCGCGCTCCGGTGAGAATGGTATTTCGTGTGAGAAATAAGAATGAATCTTAGCCATTAAATCGGATGATCTAATGACTAAAAAAAAGTCAAAATCATATATTCATTAAGGGTAATTTAGACATTACAATTACACATCACAAGCCACATCACCATGCCACATCATCATCCACACACCTAACACACACGTAACACACGCACAAACACACACAGCACACGCACACGCACACATCAGCACACACAAACACACACACACACACTCTGCACACACCTCTCTCTCTCTCTCACACAAACACACACACACACGAACACACACAGAAGGCTAGAAAGGCGCACGCCACCGGCCATTCTTCACAGCACCGCCGCACCTATCGATCCGGCCGCCGTCGCCGCTCGCCGACGGTTGAGAACGCCAGTGCCGGCGCCGCCCTTCTTTATCCACCGACCCCCGCCGCTCAAATTCGACGAGAAGTTCGTCTCCTCCGGCGAGACACACGGCGGCGCCTGCACCTGACGGTCGACATATGTCACACCGGCGGCGTCGGAGATGTCCTCACGGCCGGCATCGCGGAGGATTGTTCCGGGCAGGACGACGACGCACACACACCACACCTGCACACAAAACACGCACACACCCGCACCTGCACACACACGCACGCAGCCGCTCCAGACAGCAGATCACCGCCGTCCAGATGCTGCCGGCAAAGACACGGCATCACACACAGACACATGTGACCACACACAGCAGACACATACACACACAGTCTGACCACCCATCCCCCCGATCCAACCGGCAGCGCCGTTACAGCCGGAATTCAGACATCGTTGCAGCCTCAGCAACCGCCGTTAGCCACCGCATACCACCATACACCGCCACACACACACGAACACACACGCCTGAACACCCAATGAAACACACACATATACACAAACGAACACGCCGAATCGGAATTCCCTAATCTCCGCCGAATTGGAGATCCCCAATCTCCGCCGAATTGGATTTCACCAATTTCCGAGGCCGCCGATGATTTTCTCCACCTGCAGAAGACAGAGATGTGCGGGCATTCAGAAATTGGGAATTCCCAATTGGGATTGTTTCTTTTTAATAAATTTGATTAGTGATAGGGACTTGATTGAAATTTAAGAATTTTAAATATATTTCAATTTAGTATGTGGACTAAATCTATAATTTATAAGAATTCATAAATAAATATTATTGTTTAATAGCTTCTATACATTTATATTAAAGTAACTAATAAATATATTGAATAAAAATAATACAAAATATAAAATTATAAATTGTGTATAATATAAATAATAAAGTATTTCAAATATTTAGGTAAATTCATTTGACTAATCGATTAAACTACTTTCCGGGATCGGTTTTATATTAGATTTGCGCATAAAAAACTCTCACTGCAAAATGCACCTTAGTGAATTTCAGGCTGCACATTAATGTTAGAATGAATGCACATTAATGAGCTTGAGAGCGCACGTTAGCATAACAGTGTGTTCATTTTCGCAATTATTATAATTTATGTTATTTCAGTACAGAGACCAGCATTTTTTCATACTTTATATAAGCGGTTCGGTTTTATTTACAGAAAAAAAATACAAAAAAGCAAAATAACATAACTTATTTACAGGCGAAACATTGCACAATAGTGTTATACAAATTGCACTTTAATGTTCGTCCGATTGCACAATAGTTTCAATTTCATTTAAAGAAAAAAGTTACAAAAAAGCAAAATAACATAACTGATTGAATTATATAAAAAATGTTATTTGTATATTATACCTGTATATATATTATTTATTTAAAAAATCAATAATATAAAGTATTAAATAACTAAATATAATTCCTAAATAACATTTTATTATATAAATAATTTAATAAATGTACAATACTGTTAATTAAAATACATTATATATATATTTTTAAATGAAATACACAATAGTGTTCGGTTTCAATTTGGTTGGGAAGAAAGTTTGATCTGTTCACACTGCACAATAGCGGGTGAAACATTGCACAATTGTGTTATACTAATTGCACTTTAATGTTCGTCTAATTGCACTTTAAATTTTTTCAAAATTGAAAAACACATAAAACATACCCCACTCAATAAACTACACAATAAGCTTATACTAAAATGCAAATAATAATTATATGTGAGAACGCGTATTGTCAAATCCGATATTTCATATGGCTTTTTCAACAAAAAATAATAAAAAAAGTATTTTTAATAATTATGTATTTTTAAGAAAAATATAATAGGATTTATAATGTGCTTGAAAATATACAATATTGTGCAACTCATGTGTTATTAATGTGCAATAGATTGAACTTTTGATAAATTACAAAATCGCCCCACCTATTAAAATTCAATATAGTCTAAGTTTATAATTGCACTAAAGTCCCTCCAAATTGTCTAATTTTGAACAACAAGTCCCCACAAAAAAAAAAAAAAAAGACAAAACAAAGAAAAAGTCTCGTGACTAATATGCGCGCGCACACACACACAATACACACACCACGCCCGACACCCCTCGCCGCCATGTGCCAGCGTGCAGCCGCCGGCATCGTCTCCGGCGAGCTCGTCCATCCAAGCGACGTCGGGTCTATCTTGCCGGATGGCCGGAGTTTTGGGCGGACGACGACGGGGATGACTGAGGATTGGGCTGACGGAGGGTCTATCTTGCCGGATGGCTGAGCTTCGCCGGACGGTCGCGTCTCTGAAAAATGTTGAACTCTGAGGCGGCGGCCGGCGATTGGTGGCGGATGGCGCCGGAAGGCGGACGGCCGGACCTATGGATAAACTTGAATGTTACGGCTACGGGCGGCGAGGGATGGCGAACGGAGAAGGGCGGTGACTGCACGGCGGGGTTATGGCGGGGATGGGTCCATTTCCCGACGGCGCCCATCATGGTGACGATGCGACCGGAACGGCGGGGCTACGGCGGGGATGACGTCGGCATCATCTGGATCGACAAGGCTCAGGTCGCCGGCGAAGTAGGAGACCGGCTGGCGGCGGCGATGGGGCTGCTGTGTGTGTGTGTGTGTGTGCATCTTGTGTTGGAGCAGGTTGTGTGTACTGTGGCCGGTGAACTTGTGTGTGTGAGTGTGTGAGAGAGAGTGGAGGGTTTGGTAGTGGTGGGCCCACGTGGTGTGGATGAGGGTGATTGTTTAATGACCAATGTGTCCTTACTTAATGGTCAATTTTATACATTTGACTCCTAATTGAACTCTTATTTACAAAACTGCCATTGCAAGTTTGACTACAATATTTAATATTTGACTTGATCATGACCATTGGTATGTTGGATCCAATAGTCCAAAATCATTCTTATTTCTTACACCAACTCCCTTTCTCATATGATCCAAATTCTATATATATATATATATATATATATATATATGAGAACCAAGTCTTAGTGTGAGAACCGTGAGAACCGCTATTTTTAATTGTGCGTGGTGCTATGATTGATTGTGTTTGGTGCTATTTTGAACTAGGATGAATATTATTAAAAATAGCAACATAATTTATATTAGCATTTGTGAAAATGATAGCATCATTTAATATTAAAAATAACATCATACATAATTAAAAATAGCATTAAATATGGTTCTCACGATTCTCACACTATGACTAGTTTTTATTTGAACCAGCCCATATATATATATAGGATGTTGTTCAAATGAGAACCAACTCTTAGCATGAGAACCGTGAGAACCGCTATTTTTACTTATATGTAGTGCTATGGTTAATTGTGTTTTAGTGCTATTTTCAACATGGATGTATTTTATTAAAAATAGCAATACAATTTATATTAGTATTTGTGAAAATGATAGCACCATGTGATGTTAAAAATAACACAATACACAATTATAAATAACATCAAATATGATTCTCACGGTTCCCACACCAACACTAGTTTTTATTTGAACCAATCCACACACACATATATATATATATATATATATATATATATATATTTAATTGGCCTAAGGGCATCCACATCCCTTAACACAAAAATCATTCATTCAATCAAAAAGTAACACTCTCTCTCATCCACATCATCTCCACATCATCTTTCCACTAAATCTCTCTCCATTTAAACACACACCCACATTCCTACACATTCATTTAAATACATATGTGGGACCCATTATCCACTCATTCAATATAATTTTTTATATTCTATTTTTAATCAAAATAAACTTTAATATTTTTAAATTATAATAATAAATTTTAAATGCATGAAAATGAAAGAACATTACAAGACCAAAATTACTTAAATTAAGATTACACACGAAAAAAATAGTACAATTAAAAAAATATTTTTTTTAGTTGTTGGCAAAATGAGTCCAAATATGCTCAACTAAATCGGCACGAAGTTGATGATGCATTGTGTTATCTCGTATCTCTGAACTTCTACAAATATAATTTTGAAATTCTCGATTTGACCCCTGGATAGGTTGTGCGGGCTCTTCATCCTCGTCATTGTGCCAATTTGTTACTACATCTCCTTCATCTTCAACAATCATATTGTGTAGAATAATGCATGTCAACATAACAAATTTCAGTTTTCTTTTATACCAAAACCGAGCAGGACCTCTTACAATTGCCCATCGAGACTGAAGCACCCCAAATGCTCTTTTCACATCCTTTCGAGAAGCTTCTTGTTTTTCTTTAAATAACTTTCTTTTAGGATCTGACGGGCAAGGAAAAGACTTTACGAACGTAGCCCATTCTTGATATATTCCATCTGTAAGATAATACCCACTTGCATATTGCGTGCCATTGACAGTAAAATGAACGTTTGGTGCATTTCCTTGCAATACATTATTAAATAGAGGAGATTCATATAATACATTGATATCGTTACGTGATCCTGCAACACCAAAAAAGGCATGCCATATCCATAAATCGTATGAAGCAACCGCTTCAAGGACAATCGTAGGAGACCCATGCCCTCTTGTGGATTGCCCTTTCCAAGCAACTGGACAATTTTTCCATTCCCAGTGCATACAATCAAGGCTTCCAAGCATACCCGGAAAACCATGATTTTCTTCATGCATTTGGAGGAGTCTTTGAACACCGCTACTGTTCGGTCTTCTCAAATATACATCACCAAAAATTTGAACCACACTTTCACAAAATTTAAAAAGACATTTGATAGCGGTTGACTCACCCATACGTAAATACTCATCAAGGTGGTCAGCTGGGACTCCATAAGCCAACTGACGAATAGCTGCTGTGCATTTTTGAAGTGGTGACAAACTTTGTCTTCCTACTGCATCAATATTTTGCTGGAAATATGATGATCGTGTCTGAAGTGCATTCACAATTCGAAGAAATAATTCTCTTCGCATACGGAAACGTCTACGAAATAAATGATCTGGGTAACCTGGATGGTCAGAGAAATAATCACTTACAAGTCTGTCATGCCCGTCTTCACGATTTCTCTGGATGAACCTTCTTCTTCTACGAACTTCAATTTCATGTTGATATGCTTGAAGTAACTCGTGGCTTCGTTGAATGATTGATGAAATCATTTCAACTTCTAAATCGTTAGTGTCATCACCATCTTCACTGTCGGTGGATGATGATGAATTAGACTCGAATCTATATGAATTTTGAGACATTTTTATAGGATTCTAATTGAATTTAAAGTGTGTAACTGTGATTTGCAGAATGAGAAATATAAGTGAGTTTGCTTTGAATATATAGACATCAACGTATATGTATATTGGCCATTAATTGAGTTATCAAATTGATAAGCGTGCCATGGCCCATACCTTATCTTCTGACGTGTTTATTTGTGCCAGCAAATCGATCAACTTTTTACAGCCATATCTTATCTTCTGACATATTGATTTTGACCAGCAAATTGATTATTATAGACATCAGTTGCATATAGCTGTCATTCATGACCCATACTTTATTTTCTGACACATTAATTGAGTTATCAAATTGACAAACGTGCCACAACCCATGTCTTATCTTCTAACATGCTTATTTGTGCTAGTAAATTGATTAACTTTTCAGAGCCATATCTTATCTTCTGACATATCGATTTTTGACCAGCAAATTGATTATTATAGACATCAATTACATAGGGTTGTCATTCATGACCCATACTTTATTTTCTGACACATTAATGAGTTATCAAATTGATAAACATGCCACATCTCATGCCTTATCTTCTGACATGATTATTTGTGTCAGGCAATCGATTAACTTTTCAGAGTCATATCTTATCTTCTGATATTTATTTTGACCAACAAGTTGATTAGTCATATTGTTTAACAGATAATACATCTCTCAAATACAAAGAACAATTTAAGTGGAAAGACGTACTACAAATTTAAGTTCGAACAAGAACAATTTCATGAAAGATTGACCGACAATTCAATAAGAACAAGAACAACTTAAATGAAATACAAGCTAAAAGTTCAATACCTCCAATCACAACATACAAAAATACAAGGATAATTAAAACAGATAATACAACGTCTACAAGTTCCATTTCTCTCGAATTACTTGACACATTTTTTCATGAGAAATACGGTGCTCTTGGGTCATATGGCTTGTGTCCTTCATTAAAATATCATAATCTTTCCAATGATCTCTGCTTCTTCTCTTCAAGAGTAGCTTTTTTAACTTCAACTTCAGCTTTTTTCAAGCTAGTTAATTCAGCAAGATGCTTAACCATGTTGTTGTATTCTGTGGCCATCTCATCAAGGTTAGATTTGCCTTTGCCCTTGGCCTTTCGTTTGGCTGCCTTCTGTCTGATGGGGCGAGCCACTTCATGAAGTTCATCTAAGTCAATGCTTGCATCCCCCTTTGATGAAGTATTGCTGGCACCAGACTCATCAATTCTCGTTTTTTTTCTCTCAACAAAAATATCATTAGAACACTGTGGGGTGTACATAGGACGATCTTTAACGATTCTCCATACATGCTCAAGATTGAAGGCTACACCATCATTCTCAATTCGATATTTTTCGTAAGCCCGACTTAATATATCCTCATCACTACAACCATTTCGATAAACACTGTAAATACTGTTATAGCACTCATTGAATCGATACACCTTTTTTTGAATCGTATTATGCCAGTGAGATCTTATTATATTAGCATTTCTGTGAATATAATCAGAAGGTGTATTTTCGTTATAATAATTTGCAACACGTACCCAAAATGCTTCGGCCTTCTGATCATTACCGGTAATTGGATCGTCACTTATTGTCACATAAGCTTTTGCCAATTGCACATCCTCTTCCTTTGTCCATTGTGAACGTTTTTTCCGGCCTTCAGCAGCAACACGTGTGTTTTTTGGGATTTCAATGTTATTAGTTGCTTCACAATCTTGGAATTGTGTTTCTGGAACGTAAGTTTGAGTATCAGCTTCTTTCCTCATTTGGGATCCGGAAGATTGACTCGATTGTTGCGGAGAAGATTGCACCAGATTTTGACTACTCATGAATTGTCAATATTCAGGCGGCGGGTTTTGAAATAAAACTTGTGGAGGATATTGTGAATATTGAATATTGGTGGAATTTGGATAATTTTGGGATTGTTGTTGCATAAAAGGAAAATTCGATGGGAATTGTGGGAAAAATTGTGCAGGATAAGGAGTTTGTAAAATTGGTAAATTCGGCGGAGTTTGTGAATTTTGGAAGAATGGAATTTCTTCTGGATTGTTAGGATTAGAACTTGAGAAATTTTGAAAATTTTGCCTATTATTTGGATCTATTTTTTTTAGGCAAATGAACACAGTTGCTAAATTTTCTGGTGTAAG